CTGGTGGGGTTGTAGATTGTTTGTATGTTGTGTTTCCTCATCAGCTTCCCTATGCGATCAGTGGTTTCCTTGATGTATGGCAGGAACACTTTTCCTCTGGGTGGATCTTCATCTTTACTCGTGGCTTGTTCTTGGTCTTGCAGCTCTTCTGATGTCTGAGGTGGAGTATCCATTGGCCTGGAGAGCCCAGTTGAGGTGGTTCAGTTCATCTTGGAGGAGGTGGGGTTCGCAGATTCTTTTTGCACGGTCTGCCAAGGCTTTAATGGTGCTTCTTTTTTGACTTGGGTGATGGTTGGAATTTTTATGTAGATATCTATCTGTGTGTGTGGGTTTTCTGTAGACGGTGTGACCCAATTGTTGATCTGGTTTGCGGATGACTAGGACATCTAGAAAAGGCAGTCTTCCTTCCTTTTCTTTTTGGAGAAACTAAGGACCAGGAAAGCACATCTACTGTGCTCCCTGACTTTCCTTCTACGCTGCAGAGACACAGATACCATCCCACAATTCCTCACAGCCGAAAGGACTTTCAAAACACCACAGGCTCACCGGATCTATGACCACCTGGAACGCAACCTCTTAAGAGAGAGAATCCACACCATCCGCAAAGAACTCGCAAACACAGACAAGGAACTGCTGCATCTCCATATCAATATCAGCCAGAAGATGAATTCCCAGGACTGGGACAAAATAGACAATCTCACTTACAGGAAAATGGAGAAAAACATGGTTGTCCACACCAACAGACAAAAACAAAAATTCCACAAACGACAAAAGCAACAGCCGAAACCAGAACTGGATACATCACGGACCATCATCAACCTGACAGACAGACAACTCTCTGAAGACCAAGTATCCATACTAGCGAAAGGAGGAAACTTTGCTGTAACCGCCACCAGGATCCCAGTAGAAAACATCATTGCCAATGTCGAATCAGCAATTTACCGCCTCCCAGAGGAGGAAGCAGAAGAAGTACGAGCGGAAGCAGCAAGGATCCTGAAAAAGGCAAAACTCCCCTCCAGTAACATTACTAGGAAGGAAAGAGAAGCCATTAGAGACCTAAATTCAGATCCTGATATCCTCATTCTGCCAGCAGACAAGGGGAATGCCACAGTCATCATGCATACAGAGCAATACAAGGAGAAGATCAGAAAACTCCTGGACCCTACTATATACAAAAACTCAAGCAAGACCCAACTGCCAAAATAACCAAGAAAACCAACACCCTGATTAAGAACTCCTCCATAAACTTTGACATACGACAACAGCTATGTAAATCGGAAGCCCATCCACCCAGGCTTTATGGACTCCCAAAAATCCATAAGGACTCCACCCCACTCAGCCATTGGATCCCCCACATACGACCTAGCAAAATTTCTTGCTGCACAGTTACAAAGCCATATTGGGCTCACTACACACTACATCAAGGACTCAGCCCACTTCATAGAAAAAATCAGCAATCTCAAGCTAAATACCAACGACAAACTGATCAGCTTCGATGTGGTGTCTCTATTCACCATGGTCCCGGTAGCAGACACCATGGCACTCATCAACCAGAGGTTCCCAGAAGCCATCACAGCGCTGTTTCACCATTGCCTCACCACCAGCTATTTTCAGTGGGACAATGAATTCTATGAACAGAAAGATGGAGTAGCTATGGGGAGCCCTCTCAGCCCAGTCATAGCTAACTTCTACATGGAACAATTTGAAAAACAAGCTCTTGAAACAGCAACCAAAAAGCCCACTATATGGTTCAGATATGTGGATGACACTTTCACCATTTGGAGCCATGGAGATGAAGAACTCAACAGGTTCCTGGAACATCTTAACAGCATCCACCCTAACATCCAGTTCACTATGGAAAAAGAAAAGGAAGGAAGACTGCCTTTTCTAGATGTCCTAGTCATCCGCAAACCAGATCAACAATTGGGTCACACCGTTTACAGAAAACCCACACACACAGATAGATATCTACATAAAAACTCCAACCATCACCCAAGTCAAAAAAGAAGCACCATTAAAGCCTTGGCAGACCGTGCAAAAAGAATCTGTGAACCCCACCTCCTCCAAGATGAACTGAACCACCTCAACTGGGCTCTCCAGGCCAATGGATACTCCACCTCAGACATCAGAAGAGCTGCAAGAACAAGAACAAGCCACCTGGTAGCCAGAACACCCAGAGGAAAAGTCTTCCTGCCATACATCAAGGGAACCACTGACTGCATAGGGAAGCTGATGAGGAAACACATACAAACAATCTACAAACCCACCAAGAAAATCCAACAAATGCTACGTTCAGCAAAGGACAAGAGGGATCCTCTCACCTCTGCAGGAGTCTACCGTATACCATGCAGCTGTGGACAAGTCTACATAGGGACCACCAAACGCCGCGCCCAAACACGAATCAAGGAACATGAAAGGCACTGCAGACTACTTCAACCAGAGAAATCAGCCATAGCAGAGCACCTGATGAACCAACCTGGACACAGCATTTTATTTGAGAACACAAAAATGCTGGACCACACTCACAACCACCATGTCAGACTACACAGAGAAGCCATTGAAATCCACAAACATGTGGACAATTTCAACAGAAAGGAAGAAACCATGAAAATGAACAAAATCTGGCTACCAGTATTAAAAAATTCTAAAATTAAAACAGCAGAGAGAAAAACAGGCAGGGACATCTAATCACCTTTCAAGAAGAGTTTGCTCCAGGCACTGTCAGCCCATTGTATGCTAATCAAGGTGGTCAGTTGAAAAGATTCACACCTAGCCCAACTTACAAAAGCCTTTTGTCTCACCCTGGTCATTCCACAGATATATAAACCCCTTTTTCCCAGCTCCAGCAGACCTCTGAGGAAGCTTGCCATAGATGCAGGCGAAACGTCAGGAGAAATGCCTCTAGAACATGGCCATATAGCCCGAAAAAACCCACAAGAACTGAGTGATTCCGGCCATGAAAGCCTTCGACAATACAAAGATAGCACAATTAGTGTATATCCTGAAACACAAATGTCAATGTAAAGTTGGTGTCACCCATTGTGGGAACTCATGATGTCACCCCCATAGACTTCCTCTTGTACCAGACTACAATATTGGAGCTCAAATACCAGATACTTTGACAAGTTAGTGACTTTAAAAAATCCTCAACAGAAACGAAAACCACAGTTGAAACTACATGATTCAAAGTGTCCTTGTAACAGGATAATAATGACAACTCTGACCAGAGCCTATGCACTTCAGAAGATTTGAAAGTAAATCAGCATGTTATCCTTGTAGGTGCATTGACACAATAATCTTCAAAGCCTGAAGTGGGTCAAGTTCATAAACCAGTTGTCAGAAACTACAGCCAAGATTGCCACAAAGTAAGTTCCTGATTGCACTTTTTATAAGTATCACAGTGGCATTCCTTACCTTGGCCAGAGGTAAAGTTTTCTTACAAAGAGGTTTCTCATTACTCTTTCCACATGGCAAAAGCCAGTATTAAAAGCAACAGCATTATCTGTGAAGGCTTTGATGAATCCCTGCTTGTTCTTCTGGCGATACAGTCGCAAGATAAAGGCTTCTTGGCAAGACTCAATGATTCGGTGGGCTTTGTACACCAAAATGCCTGATGGAAAAACATCAATAAACTGTCATAAGGGGAAGGATACTTCAACAGAACAGGTTGCAATATTTTACAGAAATTAGGAGTTTCAGATTTTTCACCCATTAAAGAACACGACACACACTCCTACAAGTTATCAGCCAATTCTCCTACAAGATATAACGCAATTGCTTCTACTTCACCTTCTTCATATAATTCTTGCTGCTACAGGATTCGGACCTTCCCTAGTGCTTTTTTAAATCACAGAAATACAGATCTGTTTACTGATTGGTCCACTAACCATATCAACAATAAAAGACAAAAAACAGAGAATTTATTTATTTATTTATTTATTTACTGTATTTTTACCCCACTCTATCTGAGGACTCAGAGCGGCTTCCAAATTGGCAATAATTCAATGCCACATTAACATAAAACCAACAAAATACAAGATACATTGAGCAATAAAATCATGGAAATCATAAAACGCTTACATAAATCCATTAAACAAGCTTTTAAAACATTGTACATAAACCCAAAATCATAATCCAGAAGCCTTTCCAATCAAATTGCAATAACTTTGTAGCTGCATGTTACCCTGTACAACTCTTCAAAAGCTCGGTTACATAGCCAGGTTCTAGTTTGCTTTCTAAAGGACAGGAGGCAGGGGGCTGATCTAATTTCACTGGGGAGGGAGTTCCCCATCCAATGCAATTCTAGGCTGTATAAGTAGGAAGATTCACCCATATTGACTTGAGTCTAATGCGCCATCTAATCTGATGAACACCACTGAGAAGGCGCTGTACCTTGCCCCTGTCAACTACAACTGTGAAGGAGATGGGACCAAGAGCAGGGCCTCCCCAGAAGATCTTAGTGCCCGGAATGGTTCATGGGGGAGATGTGTTTGGACAGGTAAGCTGAGCCAGAACCATTTAGGGCTTTATACACTAAAGCCAGCACTTTGAATTGTGCTCGGTAGCAAATTGGCAGCCAATGGAGCTGATCCCACAGGAGGGTTGTATGTTCCCTGTGTGCCACTCCGGTGAGCAGCCTGGCTACTGCCTGTTGGACAACTTGAAGCTTCCGAACAGTCTTCAAAGGCAACCCCACATAAAGCGCACTGCAGTAATCTAATTGAGATGTAACAAGAGCAAAGACTACCATGGTCACATCTGACTTCTCAAGGTATGGGCGCAGTCAGTGCACAAGTTTTAGTTGTGCAAAAGCTCTCCTGGGTACCACCGAGAGCTGGAGTTCCAGCCTCAGTGATAACTCCAGGTGAACTCCCAGGCTGCGAACCTGTGATTTCAGGGGGAGTGTGACCTCATCCAGCACAGGTTGTAACCCTATATATACCCTGTTCGGCCTTTTGACTGACCAGGAGTACCTCTGTCTTGTCTGGATTCCATTTCAGTTTGTTCACCCTCATCACAGCTTCCAGACACCAATTCAGGACCTGGACAGCCTCCTTAGCACCAGGTGGAAAGGAGTAATAGAGTTGAACATAATCTGCATACAGATGGCATTGAAATCCAAAATTCTGGACAATCTCTCCCAGTGGCTTCACATAGATGTTAAACAACACAGAGGACAATACTGAACCCTGCAGGACCCCACAGGAAAAGAGCGATGGGACCAAGCAAGTATCCCTCAACAAGACCTTCTGGTACCGACCCTCCAAGAAGGACTGGAGTATCTCCAAGTCCCTTTCCCATGAGGCACTCCAAAAGGATGCCATGGTCTACGGAATCAAAAGCCACTGAGAGGTCCAAGAGAACCAACAGGGACACACTCGCCCTGTCCAGTTGCCTGCGTAGATCATCCACTAAGGAGGCCAACATACAGACAAATAGACACTAATCACTATCCTAAAACTTCTCTAACAGTTAACTAGAATAAATTAAAACACAATAAAGCTTGATTAAAAAATACGTTTGGTAAAATAGGGTTAAATTACAGCAGGGGGAGTATTCTTCCTCATGTTTAAGTGGAATATTTTTCTCTGCAATTTGAATCCACTGCTCCATTGTGTCCTAGTCTCTAGAGCAGCAGGAAACAAGCTTTTCCCCTTCTCAATGGGACAACCTTTCAAATATTTAAACATTTTCTCCAAGCTAAACATACACAGCTCTTTATGCCATTTTTATAGTGTTTGACCATTTGATTCACCATTCTCTGGACCTGTTATAGCATGTCCATATCCTTGAATTATGTTGCCCAAAACTGAACACAGGGTTCTTATTCCAGGTGAGGTCTCAACAAGCAGAATAGAGTGGGACTATGACTTCCCTCAATCTTGACACTGTACCCCTATTGACAAAGCCTAGAATCATACTGCCTTTTCAGCTGATAGTCTAGTAAGACTCCTGGCTGAACATGAGTCAACAGTTTGATGTGGCAGCTAAAAAAAGCCAATGCAATTCTAGGCTGTATAAGTAGGAAGATTCACCCATATTGACTTGAGTCTAATGCGCCATCTTATCTGATGAACACCTCAGTTTTCAAAACCCTGAAATCAAAAAAAGGATTTGCTACAGAAGTCATATGCAGCAACAAAAGGTGCACTCTTTGGAATTTGACCATTGCACTTACTGCCTGCTTAGAATTCCTTCTTTCAAAACAAAAGTGTTAGGACAACAAAGCTTCCAGTGATGGAAAAGAAATCCTTGCGGTGCATCTATGCTGAAGAATGAATCCACCTTAACTGCCTTGGTTCAATGCTCTAGAGTCATGAGGGCTGTAGTTCTGCAAGGTCTTGAGCCTTCTCTGCCAAAGGATGCTGATGCCTCACCAAACTACAAATCCCAGAATTGCATAATATTGATCCATGGCCATTCAGAGAGAGATGACATCCCTCAAAGAGGAGCAGCTTCCCCTTTTGCTTTCGCTCAGCACTAAGATGACTGTATGATGATCCTTACCAGTGATCAGGTCAGCAGGTATCCTATCCGTTAGGAAGTCCACCACTAGGATGCGGCTGGTGGCAAAGAGGACTCCTCCTCTGGTGTAAACCTCATAGCGGCGGCTGCTGGCAATTTCGTTCGTGACGCGCTGAGGGAGGTGAGCCACGTTCTCAGTCCTCAGGTGATCAATGAAGAACTCCTGGGAACAAAAAAAAAGTAAAAGATTAGCGAGTTGATTGGCCAAAAATAACAAAATGAATTTCAACAAGGACAAATGTAAGATACTCCACATAGGCAGAAAGAAAAAATGAAACACAGAGATACAGAATGGGAAACGCCTGGCTCCACAACATGTGAACAAGATCTTGGAGGCTTTGTGGACAAAAATTTTAATATGAGCAAACAATGTGATGCTGCAGCTACAAAAAGCCAATGGGATTTTGGGTTGCATCAAAAGAAGTCTAGTGCCCAGATTGAGGGAATTCATGGTGCCTCTCTATTCTGCTTTGGTCAGACTTCTTCACCTGGAATCACACTGTTCAAAAGAGATACTGACTTTAAGTTGAAAAGTGTCCAGAGGAAGAGGGTGACAAAAAGGATCAAAGATCTGGAGACCATGAATAATCCCTATGAGGAGTGGCTTAAAGAGCTGGGTCTGAGCTGCTTTTCCTTCACTGTAAGGGTTGGATTAATGTCCCTTGAGGGTCTCTCCCAACTCTGTGATTTTACGAACCAGAACATGCCAAAAAAAAAGGAGGATAGGAAGGATCTACCTTCATTCCATGCAACTCCCACCATTCCTAACAGCCTCAGGCCCTTCTTCATTTAGCCTGAAGAAGAGAAGGTTGAGAGGAGACATTACCATGGGTGTATTGTTGTGTTTCGGCATTGAGTGTTTGCCTTTTACATTTGGAATCCGCCCTGAGTCCTTCCAGGGAGTTAGGAAGGAATATTATTGTTTATTTATCATGTCAGGCAACCGAACAGTTGTATTACATTTTTAACAAAACAAACAAACATATATACAAAAGACACAGAGTTTGCAAGCTTGGTAGTTGATTAAATGTCCTTTGACCAGTATCTGGCCACTTGGAGTGCCTCTGGTGTTGCTGCAAGAAGGTCCTCCATTGTGCATGTGGCAGGGCTCAGGTTGCATTGCAGCAGGTGGTCAGTGGTTTGCTCTTCTCCGCACTCGCATGTCATGGACTCCACTTTGTAGCCCCATTTCTTAAGGTTGGCTCTGCATCTCGTGGTGCCAGAGCGCAGTCTGTTCAGCGCCTTCCAAGTCGCCCAGTCTTCTGTGTGCCCAGGAGGGAGTCTCTCATTTGGTATCAGCCATTGATTGAGGTCTGGGTTTGAGCCTGCCACTTTTGGACTCTCGCTTGCTGAGGTGTTCCAGCGAGTGTCTCTGTAGATCTTAGAAAACTATTTCTTGATTTAAGTCGTTGGCGTGCTGGCTGATACCCAAACAAGGGATGGGCTGGAGATGTCACTGCCTTGGTCCTTTCACTATTGGCTGCTACTTCCCGGCGGATGTCAGGTGGTGCAATACCGGCTAACAGTGTAATTTCTCCAGTGGTGTAGGGCGCAGACACCCCGTGATAATGCGGCATGTCTCATTAAGAGCCACATCCACTGTTTTAGTGTGGTGAGATGTGTTCCACACTGGGCATGCATACTCAGCAGCAGGGTAGCATAGCGCAAGGGCAGATGTCTTCACTGTGTCTGGTTGTGATCCCCAGGTTGTGCCAGTCAGCTTTCATATGATATTGTTTCTAGCACCCACTTTTTGCTTGATATTCAAGTAGTGCTTCTTGTAGGTCAGGGCATGGTCCAGAGTGACTCCCGGGTATTTTGGTGCGCTGCAATGCTCCAGTGGGATTCCTTCCCAGTTGATCCTCAGAGCTCGGGATGCTTGTCTTTTCTTGAGGTGAAAAGCACATGCCTGTGTTTTGGATGGATTAGGGATCAGCTGGTTTTCCCTGTAGTAGGCAGTAAGAGCACCTAGAGCTTCGGAGAGCTTCTGTTCAACCATCTCAAAGCTCCCTGCTTGAGCAGTAATGGCACGATCATCAGCATAGATTAAGCTCTCTGTCCCTTCTGGCAGTGGCTGGTCATTTGTGTAAATGTTGAACATTGATGGAGCAAGCATGGCCCTAAGGCAGGCCGTTCTTCTGTTTCTGCCATCTGCTTCTCTGGCCCTGGAACTCAACAAAGAAGCTCCTGTTTTGTAGCAGGTTTCCTATGAGGCGCGTGAGGTGGTAGTCCTTTGTGATATTATACATTTTTCTCAGGAGGAGGCAGTGGTTTACAGTGTCGTAAGCTGCTGACAAGTCTATGAAGACAGCTCCTGTGATCTGCTGCCTTTCAAAGACATCTTCCATGTGCTGAGTCAGGTTCAGCACTTGCGATGTGCAGCTTTTGCCTTTCCTGAAGCCAGCTTGCTGAATGTTTGCTTTTTATGTTTGAGCTTGCTGTGGAATCAGGCATGGGTCTATTTTTTCCATAATTCTATGCAAAATAAGTCTCTCCAGAACTTTGTATTATTATTAACACTACATATAAAATTGTGAAAGGATGTCCTAAGGAGAGGGAGTGGGGTTCCTTTCTACTTCCCTGGAAACTGGGACTCAATGGAGCCATGAATTCAAATGACAGGAGAGGAAGTTCTGTGAACTTTATTAGGAAGAACTTCCTGAGTTGTTCAGCAGCGGAACTCTCTGCCTGGGTGTGGTGGAAGCTCCTTCCTTGAAACAGAGGCTGGATGTCCATCTGTCAGAGTGGGGCAGGCTTTGCTTGTGCTGTAAGGACTTGATGTCCTTTGAGGGTCTTCTTCCAACTGTGATTCTACGAACCAGAGCATAGAAAAAGAAAAAAAAAAGGGGGAGGGGGATAGGAAGGATCTACCTTCATTCCATGCAACTAAATCAGGCCTGAGCCAACTTCGCTTAAGCGGCTGAGGGGGAAAAGGAAGGGTCCTGGGGCTGTTAGGAATGGTGGGAGTTGCAGTCCAACACCTGGAGGGAAGGACGAAGTTGGCCCATGCCTGAAATAAATAGAACAGGAAAAGCTTGTTGTGAACTCGAGAGGGCCTATCCCTCCCTCCCTCTCTCCATCCCACGTACCTCCTCTGCGGGGTTGGTGTTGAGGACCAAGACCAGCCTGGCCGGGTCGCAGTAGAGGCGGAGGAAGCGGAGGAGAAGCCGGTCGACGCCCAGGCCCCGCGCGCAGATGACCAGCCCGTCCTGGTCGAAAAGGTCCAGGAAGAGCTGCCTCTCGTGCTCCAGCGGCGCCCAGGCCGGAAGCGCCGCCATGATGGAGCTCCCCTCCACTTGTCAAGAACTGCGCATGCCCAGAAGGTAAAGCGACCCGGAGAGAAGAGAAAGGGGGCAAGCCCGCGCTATGCTTCCGGTTCCGGTTAGAAAGCCGCCTGGCTTTTTTCTTTCTCCCGCCATGCTCTTCCTCCTGGGACTCTTCGCCAGCATCTTCCAGGCAGGTGAGCGCTCCCTTTTTCATTTACAATGCCACTGCCAAAACGTGCAGAGTTAGGATGCAGATATCTGTATATAAATCAAAGTGTGCCTACCAAAAAAAGGCTGTTGCTAGGTGGGGTGGCCCCTCTATGATGTCACTTGGAAAGAAGGGTGATGTGTGTGTGTATGTCCTGCCTGTTCGTGCCACAAAAGACTGTTGCTAGGTGGAGTGGCCCCTCAGTAATGTCACTGGGCTGGCTGTTGCTAGGCGGATTATCCCTCTGATGTCAATGGGAAAGAAAGGTGAATAGACACACACAAGCCTTGCCTGTTTGTGCCACAAAAGGCAGTTGCTAGGTAGAGTGGCCCCTCAGTGACGTCACTGGGATGGCTGTTCCTATTTCTTTATTTATTTCATACACTTTTACCCTGCCCTTCTCCCCTCAAGAGGGGACTCAGGGCAGCCTCACATAAGCACCAAACGATGCCATCAACGTATAAATAATAAAAATTACATTAAAACAATTCATTAAAACAATAAATTAGTCATGTCAGTTAAAACCAAATCCAAGTCTGGAGATTCCTGCGTGGAGTAGCCCTCTGTGATGTCACACACACCCTGCCTTTTTGTACCACAAAAGGTGGTTGCTAGGTGGAGTGGCCCCTCAGTGATGTCACTGGGAAAGAAGGGTGACATATATAAGCTTTGGAGACATTGTATTGTTGAAGGCTTTCATGGCCGGAATCACTGGGTTGTTGTAGGTTTTTCCAGGCTATATGGCCACGTTCTGGAGGCAATTTTTCTCCTGACGTTTCGCCTGCATCTATGGCAAGCATCCTCAGAGGTAGTGAGGTCTGTTGGAAGTAGGAAAAATGGGTTTATATATCTGTGGAATGACCAGGGTGAGACAAAGGACTTTTGTCTGCTGGGGCTAGGTGTGAATGTTTCAGCTGATCACCTTGATTAGTATTCAATGGCTTGGAAGTGATTTATTATTATTTATTACAGTTGCTTATACCCCGCCTTTCTCACCCGGGGGGACTCAGGGCGGCTTACACAAACAAGGCACAATTCGATGCCTGTATTACAAAACATAACATCAAAAACATAACATCAATAACAACAATAATTATAACACTGATAACAATTAACGTAAACAATCAATATTATCGGCAGGAATAGCCATAAACCCGTAAAAACAATTAAAACAATAAAAGCAATACAAACCTCATTGCTGGTCAGCGTTTAACCGACTCATAGTTAGGTTCTACTTTCCACACATTGTTGGTCCTATCATTCTGGTTCCATGTCTAATTGTCAGGGTGCCCAAAGGCCTGGTCCCAGAGCCACGTCTTTACCTTCCTCCTGAAGGCAAGGAGGGAAGTTGAAGCCCTGATTTCCCCCGGGAGTGAGTTCCACAGATGAGGGGCCACCACTGAGAAGGCCCTGCTCCTCGTCCCCACCAGCCTCACTTGTGATAGCGGTGGGGTCAAGAGCAGGGCCTCCCCAGATGATCTCAGACTTCCGGGGTGGGACGTAGAGGGAGATACGTTCGGACAGATACGCTGGACCGGAACCGTAAAGGGTTTTGTAGGTCAAAACCAGCACCTTGAATTGTGCTCGGAACTGAATCGGCAGCCAGTGGAGCTGACATAACAGGGGGGTGGTGTGTTCCCTGTATGTCACTCCAGTAAGCAGTCTAGCTGCCGCTCGTTGGACCAGTTGGAGTTTCCGAACAGTCTTCAAGGACAACCCCACGTAGAGTGCATTGCAGTAGTCTATACGGGATGTGACAAGAGCGTGGACCACTGTGGCCAGATCAGACTTCCCGAGGTACGGGCGCAACTGGTGCACAAGTTTTAATTGCGCAAAAGCTCTCCCGGCCACCGCTGAGACCTGGGGTTCCAGGCTCAGCGATGAGTCCAGGATCACTCCCAAGCTGCGAACCTGCGACTTCAGGGGGAGTGTAACCCCATCCAGTACAGGTTGTAACCCTATACCCTGTTCGGCCTTACGACTGACCAGTAGGACCTCTGTCTTGTCTGGATTCAATTTCAATTTGTTAGCTCTCATCCAGTCCGACACAGCAGCTAGACACCGGTTCAAGGTCTGGACAGCCTCCTTGGTGACAGGTGAGAAGGAGTGACAGATCTGGACATCATCTGCGTAGAGATAACATTTCAGTCCGAAACTCCAAATGATCTTCCCCAGCGGCTTCATGTAGATGTTAAACAACATTGGGGACAGAATTGAACCCTGAGGGACTCCACATGACAACGGCTGTGGAGCCGAACAGGTGTCACCCAGCAACACCTTCTGGGACCGTCCCTCAAGAAAGGACCGGAGCCACTGCAAAGCAGTACCCCCAAGTCCCATATCTCTGAGGCGTCCCAGAAGAATACCGTGATTGACGGTATCGAAGGCCGCTGAGAGGTCCAGCAGAACTAACAGGGACACACTCCCCCTGTCTAGCTCCCTGCGCAGATCATCTACCAAGGCGACCAAGGCTGTTTCCGTTCCATGTCCCGGTCTAAAGCCAGACTGTGCCGGATCTAGATAATCAGTGTCTACCAGAAATCCCTGGAGTTGTGTTGCCACCACACGTTCCATGACTTTGCCCAAATAGGGGAGATTGGAAACTGGCCGATAGTTGTCTAATTGAGTGGGGTCCAGTGATGGTTTTTTCAACAGTGGTTTTATAACAGCCTGTTTTAGGCTCGCTGGAATTATGCCCTCCCGAAGGGAGGCATTAACCACCACTTTCACCCACTCTGCCAAACCCCCTCTGGCTTCCTTAATCAGCCAGGATGGACAGGGGTCTAGGATGCATGTGGTGGGTCGCACCTCCCCAAGGATCCTGTCCACATCCTCAAGCTGAACCAATTGAAATGAATCCAATAAAACCGGACAAGCAGATGCTCTCGTCACATCCTCAGAGACTGCATTTAAAGTGGCGTCGAATCCCGACCGAATCAGCGCAATTTTATCTGTGAAGAATCGAGCAAATGCTTCACAGCGAGCTCCCGAGCTGTCAGTTCTTATATTCCACCCTTCTCACCCCACAGGGGACTCAGGGCGGATTACAGTAAACACATATATGGCAAACATTCAATGCCAGTTTGAAAAACAACGTTTAACAGACAAATATACCGAGGCTATTTAATTTTTTTCTGGCCGCCAGGGGAGCTGCTGCTTTTCATCATCCATCAACGACACCGATGAAGTTCTTCCGCATTCCACATTCCCCGGAGTCTTTTTTTTTCTTTATGGCCTCATAAATTAGCTGAATTTAGCCTCCCACACAAGGTGGTACCTTATTTTCCTACTTGACAGATGCAACTGTCTTTCGGGTTGCAAAGGTAGACAACGGGCTACACAATGGCTGGACACCCACTCCAGCCCGGGCTGGCTTCGAACTCATGACCTTTTGGTCAGAGTGATCTTAATGCAGCTGACACTCAGCCAGCTGCGCCACATTCCCGGTGATTAGCATTCAATGGCTTGGAAGTGCCTGGGGGAATCTTTTGTTGAGAGTGATTTTATGTGCCTGTTTGTTTGTTTTTGCTGTTGTAATTTTTGAGTTTTTAAATACTGGTAGCCAGATTTTGTTCATTTTCATGGTTTCTTCCTTTCTGTTGAAATTGTCCACATACTTGTGGATTTCAATGGCTTCTCTGTGTAGTCTGACATGGTGGTTGTGAGAGTGGTCCAGCACTTCTGTGTTCTCAAATAATATGCTGTGTCCAGGTTGGTTCATCAGGTGCTCTGCTATGGCGGATTTCTCTGGTTGGAGTAGTTTGCAGTGCCTTTCATGTTCCTTGATGCGTGTCTGGGCGCTGCGTTTGGTGGTCCCTATGTAGACTTGTCCACAGCTGCATGGTACACGGTAGACTCCTGCAGAGGTGAGAGGATCCCTCTTGTCCTTTGCTGAACGTAGCATTTGTTGGATTTTCTTGGTGAGTCTGTAAGTGGTTTGTATGTTGTGTTTCCTCATCAGTTTCCCTATGCGGTCAGTGGTTCCCTTGATGTTTGGCAAGAACACTTTTCCTCCGGGTGGATCTTCATCTTTACTCCCGTGGCTTGTTCTCGGTCTTGCAGCTCTTCTGATGTCTGAGGTGGAGTCTCCATTGGCCTGGAGAGCCCAGTTCAGGTGGTTCAGTTCATCTTGGAGAAGGTGGGGTTCGCAGATTCTTTTTGCACCGTCTGCCAAGGCTTTAATTTTGCTTCTTTTTTGACTTGGGTGATGGTTGGAGTTTTTATATAGATATCTATCCATGTGTGTGGGTTTTCTGTAAACGGTATGACCCAATTGTTGATCTGGTTTGCGGATGACTAGGACATCTAGAAAAGGCAGTCTTCCTTCATTTTCTTTTTCCATGGTGAATTGGATGTTTGGGTGGATGCTGTTAAGATGTTCCAGGAACCTATTGAGTTCTTCTTCTCCATGGCTCCAAATAGTGAAGGTGTCATCCACATATCTGAACCATATAGTGGGCTTTTTGGTTGCTGTTTCAAGGGCTTGTTTTTCAAAGTGTTCCATGTAGAAATTAGCTATGACCGGGCTGAGGGGGCTCCCCATAGATACTCCATCTTTCTGTTCATAGAACTCATTGTCCCACTGAAAGTAGTTGGTGGTGAGGCAATGGTGAAACAGAGCTGTGATGTCTTCTGGGAACTTCTGGTTGATGAGTGCCATGGTGTCTGCTACCGGGACCATGGTAAATAGAGATACCACATTGAAGCTGATCAGTTTGTCGTTGGTATTTAGCTTGAGATTGCTGATTTTTTCAATGAAGTGGGCTGAGTCATTGGGAGACATTGTGAAGGAGGCCCTCTCTTGATCTGGAGAAGGGAGGAAGGGGAGAAAGAAAGAAAGAAAGAAAGAAAGAAAGAAAGAAAGAAAGAAAGAAAGAAAGAAAGAAAGAAAGAAAGAAAGATGAATGAGAAAAATAAGGGAAGAGGTAGGAAGGGGAAAAAGAAGGAAAGGAACAAGGAAAGTGATAAGGGATGGGAAAAAAAGGAAATAATAAAAATATTTTTTATTTCTTGTTTCTCATTCCCAGCTTACACAGGAGTGAACGAACGCACCTTCCTTGCCATCAAACCTGATGGGGTCCAGAGGCATCTGGTGGGAGAGATCATCTGGAGGTTTGAGAAAAAGGGCTTCAAGTTGGTGGCTATGAAGCTCGTGCAGGTAAGAAGAGCCCTTGCCTGAATTCCTTGTTAGGGTTTTAAGTTTAACCCAGGATGGGCCAACTTTGGCCTTCCCTCCAGGTGTTTTGGACTTCAACTCCCACAGTTCCTAACAGCTGGTAGATATTCGGAATTGTGGGAGTTGAAGTCCAAAACATCTAGAGGGAGGGTCAAAGTTGGCCCATGCCTGGTTTAACCAAAGAGGCTGGATGAAGAATTTGGGAATAATCTGTAAAGCCAGCATAATGCCATTGAACTGTAACTTCTTCCTTACAAAGCTGCCTTGTTACTAGATGTCATTAGCTCAGTTCAATTAAGCAGGAAATAATACTTTCAAACCAAGAACAGAATTTTTCCCGCAAATTGTTTCATAGTGTAATTACCAGATTCCTGCATTTTGTCTTGCCTAGTCTAATCTCATCTCCCTTTCTTTAGTGAGTGGTGAAATTCATGAAGATAATGTGCGGGGTTATTTCTCATATTTTGTTCTTTTTTCTTTTTCTTTTTTTTTTTTGTATTATTTTCTTCTTGATCTAATATGTGTGCTGCTGAAGTCTAGGGCTTCCGTGAAGAATTTTTTAAAAGATCTTTTTGAAAAGTGCATGCCAGAGTATGAAGAGCTTATTTAAATTCAATGTAGCTCTGCTTTAAGTGCAGAATTTGAATTTGTGCCACTATTGGGAAGGATGAATAGCTCCCCTTTGGGTCCAGTTATTGATGTGAATCAAGATTTTCAATGTACGCTTACATCAAAAATAAATTTGGGACCAAGTTGGATGCCATCTTGGATTTACAAATGTAGCTGTTGTAAGCAAGGCCTAATTATATAACTATTTTAAGTATAAAAAAGCATTTCATTCGTCACGTTAGGTACGAATCCAATATTTTCCTGCGCCAAAATAAATGTTTATGGTTACACTCAGTATTTTCTTCTACCAAAAAAAAAAAAATGGAAATAAAGAGAAAACTTGTGTTAAGATTGAAGCAGCACAGCCAATTGCCATGTGATCACAAACGTTGGTGAGGATCACCCAGTGGCCTCTGTATGTAGCAAAAAGAAATTAAGTCTTCAAAAACTGAATGTTTTGAGCATTTAGATCTGGTTATGTTTGGAAGCTGAACATTGGTTGCAAAATAACTGGCCATTTTAATACCCTCATTTATGGCGATGCCTACATTTTACAGATAAATTAATATATTTGGGTTGATTGATGGACAATATGCATGACTAATATGTTGACTTGATCTGTCTACTGAACAGGCCTCAGAAGACTTGCTGAAGGAACATTACATCTCTCTCCGTGAACATACTTTCTATCCCCGCCTGATAAAATACATGAGCTCAGGGCCTGTTGTGGCCATGGTAAGTGGCAGAATATAAAGAATACATGATTACACTACATTGTTTTATTGTTGTTCCCTTTTGTTTTTTCCCAACACTGTTCTTCTGATGTTGGGGTGTGCTGTCATGTCCCTCTATTACCAAATGGCCCAAAAACCTCCAGGGTGTTTTTCATCTAATCAAACACAGGAAGCAAAGGGATTGTTCAACAGGTTTATTTGATCAAATCACCATGCTGCTTGAACAGAAGAAAGTGCCACACAAGGCACTTGGGACAAGGCAGCTTAGTTTGAAAGTCAACAGCTTGAGCATGCACAAAGGCTATTTTCTCTAATTCATGCCTCATCTCTATCTCTTCCTTTTGTCCCTTTTGATGCCAGCTCTTATCAATATTCCTGTGTCTGCATTTCCTCGGCAGTCGATTCCCCCTCCTACGTCTTCCCCTCCTGCGCCTGCTTGCTATTAAGCATTTCCCTTTTGAACTTTCCCCTTGTCTGAGCTCTCTGCTTTGGCTGGTAAAATTCCACTCCAAGCTTACCCTAGACCTGGCTGGTAGTTTCCCACTCCAGGCCCTCGTCCCTTCATGACTGAGGCTGATGGATTTCTTAGGGGTTTTTACCATGTGATGCTGTGGAATGTTTGTGCTTCTCTTTTCTTCATCAAGAGATGCTGTTGGTCTAAATAAATAGTTGTAAAATGGCAGTATTTATGGGGCCCAAGAAAAATGTTTATGTGTTATAGGCAGGTGGAGAGACTCCTTCCATACAGACCACATCTGATGGATATGGCATCATTCAAGTCACACTTTTGGTCAAGGTTGTGTGGAGGGAGGGATTTATGGGCCATGGCTGACTTAAACTATGCACATTTGCATTTCCAGGACATTTGGGGCTTGTTTCAGAGAAAAACCACCTGAAAATCACCCCCTGGATTTTAATGAGTGTTTTGGAAATGTCTAGAGGAGGTCTGGGTTTCACATCTAACCCATGGGCCACTTATTCGTCTGTCTTAGGTGGACTAGGTAACAAAGGGGGGATAAAGCAAGAAGATGGCTGCTGCTGCGTGACTCAGGTTCCTCATCTTCCAATTTTCCATAGGTTTGGCAAGGGCTGGAAGTAGTGAAGGCCGCTCGCACAATGATAGGAGAAACAAATCCAGCCGATGCAAAGCCTGGAACAATTCGGGGCGATTTCTGCATTGACATTGGCAAGTGAGTGAGAGTCTATGATTTGCTTTTTCATGATATTTTGGAGGGGAAAAGGCAGCAGCATCTCTATGACAGACCATATACCTTGTTGGCTGGAAAGTGCAGTGCAATTTGTGCATCATCATATGACACATATGAGACCCATCCAATTGATTATGCTGTTCAGCCCCAGTTGGGAAGAGATGTAGGCAGGAAAGAGTGTAGGCAGAAGGAAAACGGAGTTGGCTTCCAAGGAGTGGGGAGAAAGAAGGAAAGCTCCAGAAAAGTACCTCCCCCTTCCAAATGTCCATATTTGTATATCTTTGCATCACTTTCTTTCCCTCATCTGTTGAGATCACTTATGTTTAGTACTGAGTCTATCCTCACTCAGCAGCAGCTTCAAACAAGGGTCCTTCCTTTGAATATGCAAAGGTTTAAGCCTGGGGCGTTTACCATGCAACAGATGTGATATGGCTATTATGAAAGAATCTAATTCTTAGCCAGTTTCATATCACTAGCCAGCTGCTCAAATTTTCAGTCTTTACTGCAAAGTTACACCTGTCTCCATCTACACATTAGACTAAACTGTTTCTCTCCGCGCAGGAATGTAATTCATGGGAGCGATTCTGTAGAAAGCGCCCAGCGAGAGATCTCACTGTGGTTCGAGCCAAAGGAATTGACTTGTTGGGAAGACACCGCAGAGCACTGGATTTACGAGTGAAAAGCAAAGCGCGAGTATTTGAAACATCGCCTTTTCAGCTCTCTTCTGGGTGCTATCCAAACTGTTCCAGTTTCTCTAGGATTTTAATGAGTCAAATGCATAAAGAGAGATCAGAGGCAAAGGAAAAAACCTTCAATTTAAAGGATAGTAATGTGTATTCCTCCATAGCTTCCATTGCAGGGTAGCACTATTTAGCTCCAGCCAAAACATCTGAAGAGCACAGGGAAATGGGTGGGTTTCCCTATGTGAAGTGGACTCCATATACTTTATGATTCCCATCTTTTACCATTGGCTCTGCTGGCTGAGCTTTGGGGAATTAAATGGAGACTTGCCTTCTTTTCCATCTATTTAAATGCAACACTGAAGTCTAATCTTTATGCTAAAATAATAATACGTTTATTTGTACCCCGCCACCGTCTCCCCAAAGGGACTCGGTGCGGCTCACAGGACTTCAAAGTGCCGCACATAAAACAAAGTGATGAAATTAATGTGCGAAGGAGATTCCAGTGCTTTCATTTCTCCATTTCTTCCTATTACTATTATTATTATTATTATTATTATTATTATTATTATTTAGAAATGTAAATCTGCTGCTGCTTGTTGTGTTTCTTGAACATCTGACAAGACAAAACCAAAAGTTTTTGTGGTGCTGCTTTCTATTGCTAACTGTTTCAACTCAGGCCTTACATCAGAGCTGTCAAATTCATTTCTATTGAGGGCCACATCCGCCTTATTATAGTTGCCTTCAAAGGTCCCTTGAATCAATGGTGGGAGAATCTGTGGAGACAGAGAGAGGGCCAATTATCATTTGTTTACAACCCCATTTTCTTGACTAAACACACACACACTGTAGCCTTCCAGATGTTTCTATACCACAACTCCCATCAGCTCTAGTCATGATGAGGAATTATAGGTTGCTTTCCTGTAACTGTAGTTCCCTGAGCGGTCACCTGTGAATTCATACATGTGGTAATTTCTGTGCCTGCGCAGAGTAACTTTGGAACCTTCTAGAAAGACAAATAACATTTTTGATGGTAGCCCTGCCCACTCCCCCCATAGTATAAGTAGCCAGTGGGAGGGGCTACGGCCTCCAGTTCTCTTCCGCCGCAAATAGCTGCCAGAAGGAGGAGGCATGGCAAGCGGGGAGGATGGGCAGGAATTATAGGTTGCTTACCTGTAACTGTAGTTCCCTGAGTAATCACCTGTGAATTCGCACATCCCTGCCCATCCTCCCCTCGAGTGTCATGCCTTGCCTTCTGGCTGCTTTGCGGCAGAAGAGAACTGGAGGCTAGCCCCGCCCATGGCCTATATATACTTGAGGGGGTGGGCAGGGCGAGGCGGGGGTAAAAATGTCTGTTTTTATCTTTCCAGAAGATTCCGAAGCTGTCTGCGCAGGTGCAGAAATACCATATGTGCGAATTCACAGGTGACTACTCAGGGAACTACGGTTACAGGTAAGCAACCTGTAATTCCCTGAGTGGTCACCTGTGAATTCGTACATTCCCTGTCATAGTCAACTGTGAATTGCACATATGGTAGATTAGCGAGCTACTAACTTTGAATGGTGGGCGTCATGCCACTGCCGAAAATAAGACTGCTCTTCCAAACTCTGCATCCCTCCTGGAAGCTACGTCCAGCTTGTAATGGGATACAAAGGTAAGTGGAGTAGACCAAATGGTGGCTCGGCAGACAGCGTCTAGTGGTACGCCTCTCATGAAAGCCGTTGAAGTAGACACTGCCCTTGTTGAATGGCCCTTCACATGTTCAGCCAAATCTTTTCCGGCCAAGTGATAGCAGAGATGAATCGTTGACACAATCCATGATGAAAAATGCTGCAAAGATACCGGTAGGCCCTTCACATTCTTGCGATACTTTACAAAGAGCCTAGAGGTTTTTCTGAAATCCGCTGTTCTACTCACATAAAAAGCTAGCGCCCTACAAATGTCAAGGTGTAGCCTTCGTTCCAAGGGCAAATGAGGATTTTGAAAAAAGGAGAGGACTATGTCCTGTGACATGTGAAAACGGGTGGAGACCTTGGGTAAAAAGGCAATATCTGTGCGTAATATGGGCTTGTCCTTGTGGAACCTCAGGTAAGGGGGATCTACCCTAACAGCACAGAGTTCACTAGCGCGTCTCGCGGACATTATGGCTATCAAAAAAGGCTACCTTCCAAGATAGATGAGAAAGGCCCGCTGTTGCCAAAGGCTCGAAGGGAGGTGTAACTAAAGAAGATAACACGTCCTCTAAACTCCATGACAGAGCGATGGGAGTGACGGAGGGTCTAACATTAGCAATTCCTCGAGATAGCGGCAAGATAACACTTTAGCGAAGAATGTGATAGGCCAGAGTCTGATAAGGATACCAGGAAGTCCAAAATTAATGGTATGTGAGCATTTTCAGGTTCTTGACCCCTGAGTCTAGTGAATTTGCCGAAACGAGACCACTTATAAATATAAGACTGTCTCATGGAGGTTTTATGGGCTGCCTCAATGATAGATAGAACAGATTGGGACAACCCAGAAAAGGGTACTAGTGAGTTGGTAGAACTCCGGATACAAGACCTGGCCTTGTTGAGATGTCAGGAGGTCCACGCTTTCTCAGAGTAGAACGAACGCACCATTCGCCAGCTGGAGAAGAAAGGAGAACCACGGCTGGCGCAGCTACCGAAGGGTGATCGCAATGCACCGGGCATTGTCTCTTTGAATCTTCGCTACTACCCTCAGCAGGAGGGGAAACGGGGAAAAGGCATACATTGGACAGTTGCCCCAATCCTGGAGAAATGCAGCTCCCAAGCAGCCCTCCTGTAGGGAGGTTTGGCGACAGGCCCAGAACAGGTCGCACTTGGCATTGACCTGAGTTGCAAACAGGTCGACTTCAAGAGTGCTCCACGCTTGAAAAAGCCTGTGGGTCTCCTCCCGGTTGGGTGACCACTCGTGGTTCCCTAGAGGGTTTCTGCTCAGAGAATCTGCCAGCGAGTTCTCCCCTGGAAGGTGGGTCACCACAAGGTGAACTCCTCTCTCTATGCACCGGTCCCATACCTGCATGGACAGTAAGGACGGATTGGGAATGGGTACCCCCCTGCTTGTTTAGGTAATACATCACTGTGGTGTTGTCGGTGAGTATTTGGACCACCCTTCCTTAATTGACCCTTTCAAAAGATTTTAGAGCCCTTTTGACGGCGAGGAGCTCCAGCATGTTTATGTGAAGCGTGGCTTCGTCTGTGGACCACAAGCCGTGGGCGATGAGGCCCTGTGGATGTGCCCCCCACCCCGTGAGGGAAGAGTCCGTAGTTATTGTCCTGGTGGGGCGTGGGGGATGGAAAGGAAGACCCGTGCACACCCATTGAGACACCGTTCAGCATTGCAGGGAGAGTCAGACAGGAGGAGGTAGGAAAAGTCTGATAGATGGACTGTCCGTAAGGAGATTGAAAACTGAAATGAACCACGACTGGAGAGGTTGTAGTCTCAATCTGGAGTATGGGGTAACGGAAGTGGTGGAGGCCATATGGCCCAACAAGACCTGAATCTGTTTGGCAGAGAGATGGAGGGACTCTAAAGCGAGTGTGACAAGTTCCTGCAGATTGGAGAAATGGTCTACTGGGAGATAGGCCCTCTTGGTGGCCAAATCTAGAAAGGCACCAATAAATTGAATCCGGCGTGTGGGAGACAAGGACGACTTTTCCAAGTTGAATCCGGCATGTGGGACTGGAGAAGAGCAAAATGGTAGAGATATGCATTCGCAATTTGTCACATGACTTAGAAACAATCAACCAGTCGTCTATGTACATGTAGACCGTTATTCCCTTGGTATGCAAGTAGGCCGCCACCACGGCCATACATTTTGTACAGATATGTGGAGCCGTAGACAAACCACATTGAACCAGTAGGCATGGTTTCCTGCCATAAAAGACAAAAATCTACGGTGGTGCAAAACTATTGAAATGTGGAAGTAAGCATCCTTCAGGTCAATGGTTGCAAACCACACATCCCGAGAAAGAAAGGGCATAATAGAGGTTAGAGTGATCATGCGAAATTTCTTGGGCAGTATGAATTTATTCAGAGCCCTAAGATCCAAAATGGGATGGAGGCCTCCACCACGTTTAACAACAAGGAAATAGCGGGGGGGGGAACACATGGGAAACATTGAAGGGTGCACGGGAGATATTGCCCCTTTTTGGAGTAATGTTGAATCTCTTGGAGCAATGGTAAGGAAACGGGGGTGGCTAAGACACGGCCACCCAAGGTTGCTCATTAAACTCCACCGCATAGCCATTAGCTACAATGAATAAGACCCACTTGTTGGAGGTAAGTTGAGACCTAGCGTCATAGAATTGTGACAATTTATCCCCAAACAGTGGGGAAGCTAACAAAGAACAACCAGGAACTAATGTATTAAAGGTAGGGGGGCTCCCGCACCCCGTCAACCCAACAGGGGGACACCGATACATCAAAGACGCTTCTTGGAGGTGTTCTGAGATTTCAAATTATTCTGAAAGGTTGAAACCTGGGTTTTTGGAAAAACAAGTTTTTCCGACCTCTCTGGTATCTGGAGGAAGAAGTCTTGTGATTCTCAAAAGGGGGAGCATAAGGGTTGTTGAAACTCTTACGGTAGGCGTTGGCTGATGACTTCCATCTCGGGCATTGCTGATAGTAGGGTTGCCATGTGTACCCAAACTTATTGGCGGCCTGGCGAACATCCTGTTTTTGTTTAAGCTTATCGTCCGTTTCAGGATTAAACAGGCCCGCCTCATGGAAAGGAAGGTTCTCTGCCAATGCTTTGCCCTCGTCAGATAAGTTAGATGTATGAAGCCAAGCATGTCTCCTATCAGATGTCGCTGTAGTGAACAAATTTCCCGCTGCCTCAGCGAGATGCTTGCCAAAATCCTTTTGCAGTTTGGACAGCGCAATCGCCTCAGCCTGAAGGGCCCTAGGGAGGTGTTGTTCGTCCAAGAGTAGTCTCTCGATGTAGGGTAGCATTTTCAACCATACATTTTTTTGGTAACCACTCATATAACTGGCGTAATGTGCCATACGGGTGAAAAGGCCCGCAGAGAGATGTGCCCTTTTACCCAAGGAATCCATTTTCTTTCCCTCCCTATCAGGAGGGGCGGTCAGGGAACCCTTAGACGTTTGGTTTTAGCCACCTCCGCGACTACAGTGTTGGGTTTGGGTGGATTTGAGACCCATTTAGCGGACGACAGGTCTATTCTATACATAGAATCTACCCTTCTAGGGATGGCGGGAACACCCAGAGGGGGCATATCACAGACCTTAGCAAGTTTAAGGAGATAGGGAAGTATAGGTAGGGTGGCAGAAGATGAACTTATTTGTTCTTCTGAAGGGAACATTGGATCCTCAACATGCTCTGGGGCCTTGGGGGCGAGAATATCCAGAGCTTTAATCATCCTATCAACCAATGCTGTAAATTTACGAAAATCAGCCCCCTGCGCAGCCCCATTCGCCATCTCGCCAGACAATTGCACAGAATC